TAGATGTTTTTGGAGATATTGCTATAAATCGACGAAATGACGCAGGTCTGCCTCCAGCAATTGTTACACCCGAGACTCGAATATGTAATAATTGCTTCCAAACTATTCGTCGTGAAATTGAAATAGTAGATAGAGCAATTATTACATATTCGAGTATCAGGTGTAACAATTCCTAGAGGGAAACCTGCGTCATTTCGTCGATTTATAGCAATATCTCCAAAAAGATCTACATTTACCACTCTATTTAAATGTACCATATCCCGATCGCAACTATAACGTTGTATTTGTAATCTGAAAGCCATTTATATTGCAACAAGCTGAACTGCTTATTATGAAATGAACACACCTGTGAAAAAATGACCAAATCAATATCGGAAGTATAACACCAAAAACTGCAAGTGAATGGTAATTGAACAGTAATATCAATTAAGAACTATTTGACAATAAGTCCAACGAAACTGATATTTTTCAACATTCGAAATATTTGAGGTACTCATAAAATATTCTCTGCTATCGATGTCGATAGATTACTCACAGTTGGATATCTAAACTACGATGTTAAATAAAGAAGAATATTTTTTTCTAATAGAATAAGCATATTTAAAATCACCCTATTTTTCGATATATATTTTGAAATACTGATTTAAAAACACTCGAGAAACTGTACCCTAAAGTTGTTTCGACTACTCTATCTTGGGTGTTACTTTGGATACAATCATTAGATTGTTTTCACACGCACTAGCACGCGCAAGCACACGCACACACATACGAATGGATACGCACTATCTAGACGAATATATACGTATTATACAGTTTTTAAGCTTCATGGAGCTTTTGCGCGACTAATAAGCATTTAAACAAGTGCTTGACACGCATTCGCATTAGCAACATATAACATCGAATATCTCGGAAACTGTCCATTAGCGAACTTTGGGTCCATGAAGACTTTTGTTCCTCATAACAAAAACAACCTATTCCCAAAATTTCATTAAAATGGACCGAACGGAATTTCCCAAAAGGTTTGTGCGGGGTCCTTTATTTTTGTGAATATGAAAGTTAAAATAAGTTTCTAGGTGATTAATTTACCCTACATGTAGGGTTGGTCGAGAAAATTTCGGAAAAAATTCGAAAAAAACTTATTTATTTTTTCGAATTTATAAAACACATTTTGTTTTTATTTGATTTTAATCAATGAAATGTTTAAACTGCCGACAATGATCCAGCCTATCGACAAACTCTCTCTGCATATTCCTGATTGTTTCAAGTGGTATTTGCCTGGTCTCATGGCGAGTTGTTGCTTCAGGTCTTCAATACTGTCGGGTCTGTCACGACATACCTTACTTTTCAAATATTCCTACAAGAAAGAGTCAAATGGGGTTGAATCGGGAGACCTTGCCTGCCACTCAATTTCCCCTCTTTTGCCAGTCCAACGATGTGGAAATTGATGGTTTAAATAGTTCCTTACGATGGCTGCGTAATGTGACGGAGCGCTGTCGTGTTGAAACCTTATTTCGTCAGGTTCTCTTCCTGGACAATTTGTATTACGAGAACAGCAACCAGTTCCTCTAATAATTTAAGGTATCCTGGGATATTTAAATTCTCGTCGATGAAATAAGGCCCAAATATTCGGTTTCTTACGACACCTGCTCACACATTTACCTTTTGCATCCAATGTGAGTTTTCGACGGCCCAATATCGACAATTTTGTCTGTTCATTGCGCCGTTCAAGCAAAACGTAGCCTCGTCGGAGAAGACAACGTTGGTAATGAAGTTCTTATCATCGTTACAGCGATTTTGCACTTCTTATAATTTCACAATCCCACAAAAAAAAATTCGTCCATTTGACCTTGTCAGGTCAGGTTAAATGTCATTTCAAGGTGAACCGAGAAAAATCCCCTACGGTGGGGGCAACCATGGTTATTATATGTTTTTAGGGTAGCAGAGTCCGAATACGAAATCTGTTTGGCCTTGTTAGGTCAGGTTCAAGGTTATAAGATCATTCCAAGGTCAAACTGAGAAAAATCCACTAAAGTGGGGGCAACCAAAGTAATTAAATGCTTTTTCGGATCGCTGAGTACAAATTAGGGTTCTTTTTATCTCTACCGGATGAAGATCAATGCTATTTATTTCTGTAACTGGAAAAAAGTGTGACATTTTATCTCTGTTGACAGGTAACAAAATGTCACTTTTTATGAAATTGCTGTTTTCCCCGGAAAAAAAAGTGAGTACTTTTTTCCCGGATATATACAATATACATAAGTAATAGTCCACAGTACAGGCCCCCTCTGGAAAGTTGATTACCACATACTTTATAACTCCTGAGGAGTTTCGTTTTGACGAATCTACCACATTTTTCCCCTGCGACTTTTCTCCATTCCTCCGCTTTTCCACTCGGAAAAGTCCAAAAACATGGCAATTTCCCGGGGTCTTGAAAACTCAAGACCACATCTTTTATTTCTAGCTTAAGTAACTGGAAATTTTGTTGCAAATGCCGATTTAAGTAAATTTGTCCGACAGAAATTCTTCCGACATTGACGTGTCTACCGGTCGAAACATGCCAAAATAACAGGGTATTGAAAATCAATTACCACATAGGTAATTTTTAGTAAAATTAATTGTAAATAATTAATTCAGTCAAAAAGTATTGTTGTCCGACAAATTTCAAGCCGCGTTTTTTCAGTCCGACAGCTGGAAATCGGAATTTTCACGGGGTATGAAAAATCGATTACCACATATCTAATTTTCATTTTTTCCACTTTTAAATTTACTGTACAAAATAGTGATATAAGTGTCCGACGATTTAATGTCCGCAAATTATTAAAAAATCAATAAATCAATAA